TATTTGAAATAAACAACAAATTATTGTTAACTATAGTCTCCCTACTGTATTATTTAAGGGGAAATTTTAAAATGGAGTTGGTATTAGATGCTATTAAGGAAGTATTGTTTATTTGGACGATAAGGAGTAAAGCTATAGCATCTGTAATATACTTTAAAACTTTAAAACAGTTCCACAAAAATGTTTGTAATTATAGAAATACACGAGGTGGGTTTATGTAGGGGTGTTGATCATAACATTTCTCCCACTTTTCTGAATTCTAAAAATTTTTATAATAAAAAATGAAAAATAAAATAGAAGGAAATAATAAGAATAATCACAGAAAGAATTAGGAAATAACAGCATAACAGAAATTAATCCAAAAGCTGGTTTCTTGAAATACAATAAAATACGTTGTTAACGCAATTGGAAATAACTAGGAAATCCAGAATATTTTATAAGAATTTTTAAGCTGCTTTACATAATTATACTAATAAACATAAAATGTGGATCAAAGAACAATTTTATTCTCATTATTAAAACTGTATCAGGAACTAGCCATAGTTAAGAACTATGAAAGAAATCAAGAAAGTTATCAAAGATCTTTGAAATCTTTTAAACATTTAGGGAAAAAATCATTGCCTTGGTAACCGTTCCAGCCATCTGTTGACAAAGATTCATTTCTTGCTACCACACTGTCAAATCTTGTTTTCTCATGGTTTCAGTTTCTATACAGGAGTCTCTATGCTTATTTGAATATTTTATTGCAGGTTATTTCTATATCACTTCATAAAAACAAGTGGCACATGGAAAACTGGAATTGCTAATCCCAGTGAAAAAATTGTGGGCACCGTGACTTAACAGAAAGTTGGAAATCATTAGATACTAAGCATGCCAAAGCTATAATCACAAGACACACAATAAACAAAAGCAGTTGAAGTTATTCACTTCTAAACACCACCACCTTTTACCTTGCCAGACCATTTCTTTTAGTACCTCAACTACAATAATTCTTTGACCCCACTGTAACCTACACACCATGAGCCAACCACCTTCTCAATGTCTTCACTCCTTACCTAGTTTATAAGCTATCATTCATCGTTACAATTGCTCCCTTGCATACATCTTCAGTGCCCTTTGTCATTCTCAACTAGAAAACCCCAACTCTAGTTAAATGCACTGTAATGCCTATTTCATACCCATAGCCACAAAGTTAACAACGGATGGAGAAAAAACACAATCATATTAACTAACTTTAAATTCATGTCCACTAACCTCAAGTGGGTCTTTGTTATAGCCTAGAATTCTACCTTTTTTTTCCATAATGTGTTCATTCTTTTCTATTCCACATCTTCTCCTTTCTAGTTCAATCTTCAAACTTACTTTTCTACCATCACTCTCAGTTGATGACCTTGCTTCAAATTTCACTAAGGAAATAGCATTAAAAAATGATAAAAATCTCACCTTTTCCACCTTCATATCTGCCTACCGCCTGCATCTTTGCCTGTGTGCTGTGCCTTGCCTCCAGTTTTGAAGAATGAGCCTTCTGGGCTCATGTAACCAGCTCCCCTGTTGAGTTTTAAATCCTAATCTTCTCACCCACTCAAGGAAATCACTCCTGCAATTGTCCTCCTCTCTCCCGCATGCTCAATCTTTTCTTCCTATTAGACCATTCCCATCAACACATAAACATGCTATAATTTCTCTCCCTTAGCTGCTGCTTCATTTTGCTGCTCCCAGTCACTGTCTCTGCCTTCCTTCCTTTCATTCTCTGTTGAACACAACCCACATAGGCTTCCACCCCCACCAGTCCATTGAACCTGTTCTTGTCAACTTCACCATGACTTCCATGTTGCTAAGTGGTCAAGTTTCAGTGGTCATCTTACGTGATCATTTCACCATCACATCATTTAACAAACCTGATACCTTCTCCTTCAAATTCTTTCTTCCCTTGACTTCTGAGACAAAATTCTCTTCTGACTTTCCTACTTCCTGCCTTTTTACTTAGTGCTCTTTGCTGTTTCTCCTATTCTTCTTGACCCCTAAATGCTGGCTTACCCCAGGGCTCAATCCTCTTCTCTGCTCTGTGGATACTCACTTTAATGGTGATTTCATTCACCAATTATGGCTATAATTATCACCATTTTGATGAAGATTGCCCATTTTTTATCTCCAGCCCTGGAACTCCATGTCATGCATCCACCTAACCAACCTACATCACCACTTGGATGTTGATTATGTATCTCTAAATATGTCTGAAACCATGCTTTTTATTTCCTGCTCCTTCTGTAGTCTTCCACATCTTGGTAAATGGTCCCTCCATCTTTCCTGCTGCTCAGCCCAAAGAAGTTTGGAGTCATCCTGGACTCGTCTTCTTTCACAGTCCCCGTCTGATCCATCAGTAAATTCTGCTATCTCTTCCTTCCAAACAGGAGTTTTGTTTGCCACATCTATTGCTACTATCCCAGTTCAAACCACTACCATCCATTTTCTATATTGTTTGAACTGCCTCCTTAGTGGTCTCTCAGTTTCCGTCCTTGCCTCTCCACATTGTGCTGTCATCACAGCTGCCAGAATATACTTTAAGAAGATAAACCAGATCATGTTACTTTTCACCTAAAATTTCCCAACAACTTCCCATTTTCTCTGGAATCAAAGTCCTTACAATGATTGACAAGGTCCTATATGAAGGAATATCCTGCTATCTTACTCTTCAAATCTCAACCTCTGCTACTCTCCCTCTCTCACTGATTCTAATCCAGCACACATGGAAAACATTCTATAACTACATTATTAAAGATTTTTATCTAAAAGACATGGAAAAATAAAGGACTGTTTTATTTTATATTACTTTGCTTTATTCATATGTATGTATGTAAGTATGTATGTATATATGCATGTGTTATCTCTCTGGGAACAGAAAATCACTTTACTAGGTAAGTGCATCATTAAACTTTCACACATATTCATGGACTTTCTTTTGCACAAAATGAGCACCTAAAAATGTGGATAAAAATGGAATTTATTCTCTTACTGGATGACTTTCAAACCAGTGAAAAAATACACACTAGACAATAAATGCTGTAGAGATATAATAACTAGCTAGCAGTTTGGAGAGAAAAGAAAAGCTAGATGCTTATAGTCCACTCTTCGAAAACAATTACATTATAAAGAGAAGAGAAAGCTAAATGTAAAACATAAGTAAAAATGATATGAGAAAATAAAATGAGGCCGGGCATGGTGGCTCACGCCTGTAATCCTAGCACTCTGGGAGACCAAAGCGTGAGGATCACTTGAGGTCAGGAGTTCAAGACCAGCCTGAGCAAGAATGAGACTCTGTCTCTACTGAAAAAATATAAAAAATTAGCCAGGTGTTGTGGTGCATGCATGTAGTCACAGCTACTCAGAGAGACTGAGGCAGGAGGATCACTTTAGGCCAGGATGTGGATGCAGTGAGCTATGATGATGCCATTGTATTCTAGCCCCAGGCAACACAGACAGACCCTGCCTCAAAAAAAAAAAAAAAAAAGCTAAAATATATTTTGCAAGCTAAAAAATAATTTCTTATTGTTTATTTGAGACAAAAGATTCACATCCTAAATATAGAAAGAGAATTTACAAATCAATAATGAACATTTCGATAGAAAAATGGTCAAAGGACAAGAAACGTACAATTTGTGGA